GATAACAGGCGTAAGTGATCAAATGAACGACAAGTTTACTTCACTATTTCCAATTTAACATTTAAGAACATTATTTCGCTAAAAAATAATAGCCTAAATTTGGATTTTATTATACTAATCCTCTTTGTTAGTTTTCCTACTAATGGCTTTGTGTAAAACTATTCTGCTATATTTTCACAGCCAATTTTCTTACACCTATATAATAACCAACGAGTGTACATACAACTGAGAATCTTTTTATGGAGGCTTATCCTTTTTTACCGTAGATTAGTGACAACTATAATCAATATAGTGGGTGAATTTTCGAGTATAATATAAGTCAGCTAGTCAGTAACAACGTAGAGCTTCGTACGTACGTACATCAGTTCGAGTTGCCACACCACATTAGCACAGAGATACAGTGGTAGATCCAAATCCCGTAGTGGTAGAGGTAATAAGAGTATAAGTAGTAATCGGGAAGATTAGTGTTTGGAGATATTATTTAAAGAGTATAATATAATGAAATAAATTTGGGAAGAGAAAAAAAAGAGACAAGGAGGAATAAGGAGATCAAAATTTGGGAGAACACAAAGAGTGTGTGCACCTTCGCCATCACAAACGATTTTGAGCCATGTCATTCAGGGTCTCCAACCATCGGTTGTCATCATCTCGCGGTCCCCAACCATGTACTCTGCATCTACCAACATGACTCAGTCCACTTGCCAGTGACTTCATGGATTTGTGCCATGTTTTGGTCTGGCCGCCCCTAGCTTTCTTCCAACCTACTCCTATACCACTGAATATAGCACGTCGAGGTAGTCGGTGGTTGGGCATACGTAACACGTGTCCCAGCCATCTCAACTGATGAAGTTTCACTACTTCATCAATTGATTTGCCATCCTTACCTAGTACCCGTTTCCTAACAGCTGCGTTACTTACTCGGTGGTCCCAGGATATACGAGCAATACTTCGAAGACACCTATGATCAAATACTAGTAACCTACGAATATCCTCTACTCTTACCGGCCATGTTTCACTTCCACAAAGTAGGACGGAACGAACTGCTGCGCAGTAAACATGTCCTTTGGTTGATAGACGGATATCTTGCCTACGCCATAAATGACGCAAGTTGGCAAAAGCTAGTCGAGCCTTCTGTATCCGTGCTGAGATTCCATCACACACCAGACCACAAGGGCTGATGAGACTTCCAAGATAAGTGAAGCGGTCAACACACTCAACTACTTCACTCCCTATCATTAATTCGGGTATCGAAGCAGCTTTTTGCATTTCGAGGGAGAGAATCGCATCCCGAACATGCTTGCATTGTTGTTTAGAGTGGTCAGAAGACTCTGCATTTTGTCAGAGTCTTCACCAAATAAAACTATGTCATCAGCATATTCTAGGTCAACAAGTGAACCTCCCGGTAGAAGTTCAACCCCTGGAAATTAAGATGAGGAAAGTGATATATTTAAAATTACATGAACGACAAAGTTAAACAAGAATGGAGAGAGTGGACAGCCCTGACGAACACCACTTGAGGTAATCAATTCTGATGACAGTTCGCCATAAGCTCTCACCCGACCGGTTGCGTTCGAGTAGAGAGCCTTCACAAGGTTAATGTACTTGTTTGGTACTCCTTTCAGTGACAAACACTACCATAGGACCTCACGATCAACAGAGTTGAATGCCGCCTTAAGGTCGAGAAATACTACCATTGTGGGGCGTCTGGATGTGTGTCTGTGTTCTAGAACCTGACGTAGTGTGAATATCTGGTCTATACAACCACGTCTAGGTCAAAAACCAGCCTGATTGTCTCTAGTCTGTTCTTTACGAGCTTTGGTTAGGCGTCGAAGTATTATTGAAGCTAATATTTTAGACACTATATTAGTCAAACTGATTCCTCTGTGATTGTCACAAGAGGACTTTTGTCCTTTCTTATAGACTGGCACAATCAGTGACTGAGACCAGTCAGATAGGATTACGTCCAGTTCCCAAATTCTGCCTAAGACCTCAGTTAATCTCACTGCTAATACTGAACCACCATCCTTAAAAATGTCAGGAGTAAACCTGTCAGGGCCTGCTGCTTTCCCTCACTTCAACTTCGTAAAGAGACGGAGGACCTACATTAACTTGCTATTCAGGTTGACTAGATATCGTGGGAAACCGAAGTGTGGCTGAAGACCAGTTGAACTGATCCCTAAAGTGTTCTGCCCATCGATCCAATCTCCTGGATTGGGAATGTATAATATGTCCATCTTTCTCTGAGAGTGTTTCGCTAACAGCCGGTTTCCTAATACCGGTTTCCTTAACAAGTCTGAACAACTGTCTACTATTACCTATTGCCGCTGCCTTTTCCATCTCTCTTGCTTTCGCTACCCACCACTGTTTACGATCATTGCGTAGACTTCTTGTCAGCTTGCGCTTAAGCTGACTCCGCTCTTCATTATGTTCAGAGCCAAGTGGAATGAGTTTCCGAGCATCTATCAGAGCCGTAGATGCTGCTGAGATCCATCGTTGCTCCCTAACCTTACGGGTTACCGTACTAGCAGATATCACTGCTGTTTTCACAGCTTTTCGGATATCATTTCATGCTGCCTCTGGGTGAGCATCACATACATGCCTGCCTAACTGTTTTTCAAGTTGTTCCTGAAATATACTCTTAGTTTGACTATCATTAAACAGGACCCTAAGAGGTTTCCTTGCAGCGTCTTTCTTACGTTCAGTAAGATGCAGGCAAATACGCGCTCGCACTAGAGCATGATCTGAATCTAAGCATGTGCTCCAGAATGAACGACAGTCTTCTATCGAGCCCCTCCATCGGTGGCTGATAGCGATGTGATCTATTTGGGTCCAACGTTGGGACAAATAAGGGGGTCGCCATGTTAAAAGATGTTTTTCTTTGTGCTTAAAGTTAGTATTTGCGAGAAAGAGGCGGTTATCTGAGCATAGCTGCGACAGATGGTCGCCGTTATCTGTTCTTTGAGCCACGATGCTATAAGATCCACCCAGGTGTTTTTCCCTATCGCTTAGTTTACCTACTTGAGCATTAAAGTCACCGGCCATTTTTACTACATCCGAGCGCCAAGCTTTTCGAAGAATATCGGAGAGCTTTCTGTAAAACTCATCTTTCACATCATCTGCACTGCAGTCAGTGGGAGAATAGGCAGAAACGACGAAGAGGCAGCGACGTGTGTCCCTATCTTTTCGGATCCTTACTGTTCCGTTTAATCGGACAGCACACAAACGACTGTCTACTGGGATCCACTCTAAGAGAGCTAGTTCTGCCCTATGACTCAATGCTATACCTACGCCGGTGAGGCCACGGGAAGCAGCATCAGGGCACCCAGATACACGAAACGTCAATCGAATTGGTTTTGACATGGTGATGTCAAATGAATGACGCTACTCGGATCCTGTATGCGCGTCTCGGAGACGCAGCACACATCGATGGCGCGAGATTCCAAAGTCCTAGCTAGGAAAACCTGTTGCCCTATTTGGCAGTGTTCGAACGTTATAAGCTCCAACATGAAGTTTGGAGTGTGGTTTCAGGAGACCAGGAATAACGTTCCGTTTACTCGAATTGTTTGCCCTAGCGGTGCGAGGTGATAAAAGGACGTGAGAAGGGTTAATCATGGAGATAAGAGAGGTATTAGGAAGTGTAGGAAGGATTTGAATGTGACCAACATGGTCTCATGTGCTGTTACGGGTATTAGGGATGATATGACTTCGCGGCTGTGCATACCGTGGAAGGGTATTTCTTGAGGAACCTGAAAAGGAAGTTGGCCATAACGACCTGGGGGCGTGACCGCAGAGCTCAAGAGACAACTGCTTGAGGCCGGTCGTGCACGGCCTTTTTGTGGGAGGTTTTTGACGTGTTAGCTCTGTTCTTCAAAGGGCCTTACGGCCGGAGACGGAAATCCGTGAGGTAAGGTGAGGTGTGACATTTTTAGGGTCGATCTTTTCTAACCCCTTACTTCCTTGTCAGAAGGCAGCGTCGTTGCAGATGCTTGGTGTCCGAGGGAAACACCTTACTGCTGTCAGCAGTACGACTTCGCCCTCAGACAATGAGTTGCTGCCTTTAGTCTTACCGTTCTGCAATCGAACTGCCTGGCATGGTAGAACCTACAGGAACATATGTTCCAGCCAATACAGATCGGTTGGGTCATCACGATAGGCAAGCCTGACCACCGCGTCAAGGTAGCAGCTACGGTTGGCCACAAAAGACTTGAAACTATTAATGCCCACACGTAATCAGTGAACCAATTGTAATATGGATAGGTATCTATTTCTTTGCCAGATGCATTAATCGTACCAGTAGAAAATGACTAATTATTCATATATGCTTAAGTTTATCGCTTTTGTTTTGTAAGTATATGACTACCGGTTAGAACATAAATTATGTGGTCACAAAATGAACTTTTAATCTAATCGTTTATCACTTAAATGATTAAAACGTTAATTGGTGAGTCGAATTCCACCGAGGTTATAAAGCATTAACTCAATAATTAACATAAATTCTGTTACCGGTTAATTTAATTATCCAAATTTTTAATGCTATATTACTTATCAAGTAAAAGTGATATATAGACAATACAGAGACTTCAAAATTACAACAAATTCTGAGTGAATTTGCTTATCACTTTGTCAAACATGGACTCAACAGAATATTTCAAATACAGACATTTACTTTTCATGAAGTGTTGGCCAGAAAAGAAATCACTATTAGAAAATACTATAATTGAAATAAATGTTGAAAAAATGAAGCAAATTAATTCATTCCAACACAAAATACTTTAGAGTTGCAAAACAGAACAAACCAAAATATAAAGGATACTTTAGAGAGAAGATAATCAATTATGCAGGATTTTAATGCATGATTATGAAATGCGATAAATGCTATATATATATATATATATATATATATATATATATATATATATATATATATATATATATATATATATATATATATATATATATATATATATATATATATATATATATTATTATTTATTTATTTATGCTGAGATCAGAAGCAATTTGCAAAATGTCAAAATAAAACAATGGGAAGGAGAACCAAAGTGGTTCACAGTAAATTTGAATCGGAAGTAACGTGGAGAATGTGAACAACATAATTTCAATGTTTCGAACGGTGGCTGTGTGAAGCTACTCAATGAGTATAGAAAATACGGTAATACAGCCACTTAGAACGCCAGAGAGAAAACGAATTGTCGAATTTGAATACATATACACCAACACCTGGATACTGATGGCTACCACAATAAACTTCTGTATGACAATCCCTTCTATAGATTGGTATAAGTTCGTCAGTAGGTAAACGCTGTTGTAATGACTTTTTGCCTAATTCCAAATCATGAGATTCTGAATACAAGTAAAAAGTAAATTATTACAGGCAGTGAAAAATGTGTAAGAATGTTTTTTTCTCAATCACGTTTAACACATACCTTGCACACTTATTCTGGACTTCATCGACTTAAGTCAGGTCCCAGTATAGTATCATCTTTTAGATTATACATCAGGCTTACTGAGATTTGTAGAATACACTAATTACAGGAATTAAGAATTACACTACGAACTATACTTTCCGAACAAATAGTGGTAGTACATCGATTTCAACTCTGCAAATCCATTCAGTGCAAAACATTTTCTGGCTCTGCATCTATTCAGACGAAACTATTCACCTATGAATAACAATTTCAATTAGGGTACTTTGATTGGCACTTCGGTTTTACCTAACATTCAATGTGTTCTGTACTTGAGAGTCTCATTGTCAAATTTCGACACAAGCCAAGTAACACAAGCTACACAAAAACACCTAATAATCCTGTAGAGCTGGAAAGTTTACAAATTAAATCGAAAATAGTAGCACATGTTATGTTCAGTAACCAAGTCGGTATTAAAAATATCAAAATAATTCAACGGTTTTTCCAATTATAAAACTAAGCTCTAAAATAGTGGCTGCGTCTGATTATTGGGTGTTCACAAAACGACGAACGAGATATGCATCCAAGAGAAAATATGTGCACACACTTGTCATAATTCACATATTACTACAGAAATATTAGTGACATGGCATGTAGTAACAGTGATTCTTAGATACAGGAGAGGAATAGCGTCGAATTGCTTACGGCTGTCACACCTCGTGGAGGAGCATAGGCCACAGGCAAGCACTCACCATTCAACTCTGTCCTAAGCAAACATTTTCAGTTGCTATTCATCTTTTGGATGTCTGTTTACAATTGCCGAAGTGGCGTGTTCTTTGGTCTTTCTCTTTTCCGTTTCCCTTCAAAATTCCAAGTTAGGGCATGCCTTGTGATACAGTTTGGCGATTTCCTTATTCTACGTCCTATCCACTTCACATGTCTTTTCCTAATTTCCTCCTCAACTGGAAGCTGGTTTGTCCTCTCCCACAGAAGGCTGTTGCTGATGGTATACGGTCAATGGATGTTGAGTATCTTCTATAGACAACCATTTATAAATACTTGTACCTTCTTGATGGTGATTGTTATAGTTCTCCAAGTTTCAGCTCCGTACAGTAGAACTGTCTTGACGTTCGTATTGAAGATTTTTATTATATTGGTTGACAGTTGTTTTGGGTTCCATATGTTCTTCTACTGTAGGAATACTGTCCTTACTTTGCCAATCCTTGCCTTTACGTCTGCATCAGATACTCCACATTTGTCGATGGCGCTTCCGGTGTACGTGAAAGATACCACATCTTCCAATCAAGTGTGATTCGGTTGGTGTTCTCTGTGTTGTATTTGAGAATCTTGCTTTTCCCTTTGTGTACACTGATGCAGAAACTGCTGCTACACTACTTGTCTTCATCTGCATTTGTTATTGTGTATGCGACAGGAGGGCTAGGTCATCTGCGAAGTCAAAATCGTCTAACTGGTTCTGAACTGTCCACTGTACCCCATGTTCTCTCTCAGGTGTCGAGATCTTCATAATCCAGTCGACCACCAGAAGAAAGAGGAAGGAAGAGAGTAGACAGTCTTGTCTGACTCTGGTCTTCACTTGGAATGTATCTGTCAGCTGTCTTCCATGCACTACTTTGCACTGTAGTCCGTCGTACGAGTTCGGGATCATGTTGACAATCACATAAACTCCTTAGTGTCGAGGAAGTTTCCATAACGTCCTCCTATCTACACTGCCAAATGTCTTTTTATAATCAATGAAGTTGATGTACAGTGACGAGTTCCACTCAACTGATTGTTCGACAATGATCCGTAGTGTCGTGATTTGGTCTGTGCACGACCGTTCCTTACGGAATCCAGCTTGTCGATCTCGGAGTTGGGCGTCTACTGAGTCTTTAATTTGGTTCAGCAACACCCTGTTAAAAAGCTTTCCTGGTACTGACAGTAGTGTGATGCCTCTATAGTTTTCACATTTGCTTAGATCTCTTTCCTTTGAAATCTTGATAAGGTGTCCTTCTTTCCAGTCCATCGGCACTTGTTCTTCCTCCCAAATCTTTTTGAATAGAAGGTGAAGCATGTTTGTAGTTACTTCGATGTCTGACTTCAGTGCTTCAGCTGATATATTGTCGGGTCCTTTTGCTTTCCCGCTCTTGATTTGTCTGATGGCCATTCTGATTTATTCCGTCATTGGTGGAGAGAAATCTATAGGAAGATCTGTATGTGCTGCCTCGATGTATTCTACCCGTCTGTTCTTCTGTTCTTAAACCTCGGTGAATGTCTTGCCTTCTTTGTCCTTGATCGGTCTCTCTGGTTTACAATATTTCCCTGCTAGTTTCTTCGGTGTATCACACAACTTTCTCATATTTCCTTCTCTTGCAGCTTTTTCCGCCGTCGTTGCTAGTTCTTCCACGTATTTCTGCTTGTCGGCTCTAACGCTCCTCTTCACTCGCTTGATTGCTTCAGTGTATTCAACTCGTGCCTTGAATTTCTGTGCTCTTGTTCGACTGTTGTTGATTGATGTCTTCTTGTTCTACCTGTCTTGAATCCTGTCCAGTGTTTCTATAGAGATCCATTCCTTATAATGATGCCTCTTTAGGTCAAGCATCTCCTGACACGTTGAAGTTAATGCTTCTTTGATGCCTTTCCAGTTGTCCTCCATAGTAGTTTCTTCTTCCTTCGGTAGATCCTGTAAGGCTTGGAACCTGTTGTTGAGAGCTATCTCGAATTCATTGAGTTTTATCAGTATCTCGAAGGAAGGCTGTATTGAACCTTTGTAGTGCTGTTTGTCCAGTTGTCCAGGTCTTCTTTAGCTTCAGTTTCATCTTGACTACAACCAGGTGGTGATCTGGAGCTATATCAGCTCCTGTCCTGGTTCTCACATCTTCTATTGTCCTTCGGAATTTTTTATTGATACAAATATGATCTATCTGGTTCTCTGTGGTGTGGTCCGTTGAGATCCATGTAACTTTGTGGATGCCTTTGTGTGAGAATATTGTGCCGTCAATGACCAATTTGTTGAATGCACATAGGTTTGCAAATCTCTCACCATTTTCGTTTCTCTCTCCCAATCCATATCGTCGCATGATATCACCATACCCAGTGTTGTCTATTCCAACTTGAATGATGGTATTTGAATTACAAATGGATTGTATTTGTAAAGCAGTTTACATTTTATTAGTACATGATGAATCATAATCGATAAGAAGCAAATGAAACGGTTCATAATTTACAGTAAGTACATATCATATGTTTTAACAAACTCGTGCTGTTTATTATTTGCACAATCCAACGATATTACATTTGCTACATGCCAATATATATGGGCAGTTACCTGAACAAAAATTAACAAAACGATTTATTCGCTTAATGAATACCGATTAGTTCTACACTGAAAATTTTTTTTTTTTAAAAAAATTTTTTTTGCATTTGCTACTGCCTATTTGTTCGTTTTTTTTTCAGTAAGTAACTTGTTGAAATACCCTGTGCTGAGAATTCTATATTGTACCAAAATATAATATTGAATAAAGCCATTAATAATAATAATAATAATAATAATAATAATAATAATAATAATAATAATAATAATAATAATAATAATAATAATAATAATAATAATAACAAAGAATTCAACGTTATGCATAGAAACATTATCTAAAAATGGACACTGGTATTCTCATAATCAAAGCTAATTTCCTACCCTTATTTTCGTTTTCAGGCGACGTTTGTTCCATAGAATTTCCATTACTAGTTCCTTCTTCATCCTCATCTTCACCGCCTTCTTCATCACTTGACTCCGAAATATTAACAGAAATATTTTCAGGCGGTTCCAAATCCCATTCAAAATACAATCCAAAACCTAAGTCATAATTGTCTGTAGCAAATTCCCAACATATTGCTTTCCCATTTGGATGAGTTGGAACACGTACCTAGAAACGAGAATATAAATCCTTAAAATACAACATTATCGAACCGCGATCAATGTGAACTATAACATATACAAAAACTTGGATAGTTACAGTTAGTAAGGATTCGTAATACAGAAGAAATATTGGTTCAAAAATGAAGAATATTTGAGCGAACAAGTATTTTCAATAACTTCATCATCAGGCTCTACAGTTATAAGTCCACAATTATCGTGATATTTTAGAAACGCCAAAATAAGACATGTATTAATGAATTTGACAATATTATATGTTAAAAATACTGAACGTTTGCATCTGTTACGACATATACACTTCAAAATTGTGTTATTAGTAAATTAGAAAAGTTATTTAATAAAGGTTGTAGAGGACGACGCTCAGTCTGGCTGCATTAAATTTTTTTGTACCGCATTTCTTAACCTATAAGTCACGACCTCTTCAGTAGTATCATTTAAGAATTGTAATTTTAAGAACAATACTTTCTTCAAAACGGTAGGTACCCTTGTCCTTCTTTTCACCTCCTTCATGTGTTTGTCGATAAATTTCGTTGGGTACCAATTCCTACTAAGCAAGTTACGAATATTAACCAATTCATCTACAAGAGTGTCATCCGTGCAACTCATTCTAACACGATGAGCCAGGATCTTTATCGAGTTTTTTTGGATTAGATTGGTACTGCACTATAGAAATGTGTGTATTGTCCAGCTGTAGACTTTCTTTATAACCCTCTTCTTAATGTTCCATCTGTTCGTCTAGTTAGTTGGAAATCTAGAAACGACATGCTATTGTTCTTTTCTTTCTCCAGTGTAAAATTAATTGATGAATGAATGTTATTAAATATATTAAATAAATTCTCCTTTTCATGCTCTTTTTCTATACTATGAAAGTATCATCCATATAATGACAATAAGATGTTAAATGTTGATCGATTTAGTAACTCCAATCATACTTTATTTATTATTATTTATTTATTTATTTTAACACATAAATATTGGTACAAGAGAGCGCCAATATATATGCGCCACACAAAACAATGTAACTTCGAAGAGATAGAAAAAGAAAAAAAAAACCAAGGAGCACAAAAGAGAACGATAACGAAGAGATTTAGTGTGGTCGTAACAATGGAACGGAAAAGTACAATCAGAAGAAATCTTTCAAGTAAGGGAGACACAACCACTTTTTATGAAGAAAGTAAAAGAAGGTTACAGCAGGATCGCCACTGGCTTCTATTCTGAGCCATATCTGATAACGTCTCTAGCCACTGTGTAGCACCATCTCTCAGACCCCAACCAGGGAGTCGTGAAGGACCAACACAAGCCAGTCCTTTGCAGCTTTCTTTCATACCACGACACCATGTCATGCACTGACCACCTCTCCGCTTTTTCCAACCAGTCCCAGAGTCGGCAAATAATGCACGACGTGGAATTCTCTGGGACGACATTCGTAGAACATGTCCAAGCCACCGAAGTCGGTGTTTCAAGATGGTGACACCAATTGAATTATCATCTCTGTGCCCAAACACATGATGCCGAACCTCTGCATTACTGACATGGTGTTGCCACTGAATATCAGCAATCCTTCGGAGACAGCGATGATCGAACACAGAGAGTCGTCTAACGTCCTCAACTCGGAGAGGCCAGGTTTCACAAGCATAGAGCAAAACTGCTCTCACCGACGCGTTGTAGATCCGACCTTTTACAGCCAGACTAACATCACGAAGGCGCCAAAGATGGCCCAGATTGGCATAAGCCACTCTGGCTTTCACTATACGTGCATTGATCTCATCACTCACACCCCCACCAGCACTTATGCAACTACCCAGATACACGAACTTCTCGACTACTTCTATCTGCTCACCATCCAGGGTGAGTACAGGATTGGAATCCTGCCAGTCTTGTAGAAGTACTTTGCACTTCGAAGGTGCAAAACACATACCATACCTACGGACACTGATTGCCAACTGATTAAGTGCGGATTGCATGCCTTGGGCATTATCGCACAGTAAGACAATATCGTCCGCATACTCAAGGTCGAGAAGTCTTTCTCCAGGTAACAGATCCACACCACCATTACTTACATTCATCAGAGCTGTTTCCAGAATGTCATCGATGGCAAAGTTGAAGAGGAATGGTGAGATTAGGCAACCCTGCCTAACCCCACTACTCGAATGGAACAATGGAGAGAGGTGGTTGTATGCCCTCACTCTGCCTGAGGTGTTTTTATATAGGGCTTTTAGGATGTTAATAAACTTCTCAGGCACACCCTTCTTCAATAGACAATCCCAGAGAACAGTCCTGTCCAACGAATCGAAGGCAGCCCTGATGTCAAGAAACACTACGATTGTTGGCCTTTGATAAGTATGGCGATGTTCTAACATGTGGCGGAGGGTGAAGATATGATCAATACATCCTCGACCAGAACGAAACCCAGCCTGCTCCTCGCGAGTCAATCTTTCCCGAGTTTTGAACAACCTACGAAGTATGACGGAAGTCAATAGCTTGGACGCAATCGGAAGTAGACTTATCCCCCGATAGTTGTTACAGGAACGACGTGAACCCTTTTTAAAGATAGGGACAACTATCGACTCATTCCATGACGTTGGTACACACTCTAGTTCCCAAACCTTTGTAAACAACGTCGTCAATTCCTTAGTCAAAAAGTCACCACCATCTTTAAAAAGAGCCGGAGGTAAGTCATCTGGGCCAGGTGATTTGTAACGCTTCAAGAGTTGGAGTTCCTTGCGGACTTCCTCCTCGTTTGGTGGATCAGTCGTCACCGGCCATGGAGGGCAGGACAGCCTGACCGATGTTGCCGGAGCAGCAGGCCAGTTGAACTGCCCTTCGAAAAATTCTGCCCATCGTCCAAGACGTCGATGGATGTTAGTGATTGGCATCCCATCATCCTCGCAGATTGTTTCACTCACACCAGACTTCTTGCTGCCAGTGGCTCGGATGAGCTGGAAGAGCTTCCGGTAGTTACCAGATGCAGCTGCTGCTTCCAGCTCATTAGCACGCTCCGACCACCAGGCTTCTCGGTCCTTACGCAAGCTTTGCCCAATTTCCCTACGTAACATCCTTCGTTTATGGTCAAACTCACGGTCACCCGGAGTAGACCGACGGGCTTCAATGAGTTGTAAGGAACCAGAACAAACCCAGTGCTTAAAAGCGGGACGTTTCGCAAACCCACAACTGACTGTTCCCGCCATTTTCATGGCGTCAAGCAATTGCAACCAATGCTCATCTATACTTTTCGGTGGAGTGGTAGCTAGCCTAGAGGCTAACTCGGTTCGATACTTATTTGCAACAGAAGTTGCAACCAGCTTGCTAACATCAATCCGTTGGTGGCGGTCACTTCGTTGGCCACTGAAAAGTAAGGCAAGATTGGCGCAGACCAAGGCATGGTCAGAGTCCAGATAGGTACTCCAAAAAAAGCGGCAGTCTTTTACAAAACCACGCCAGCGGAAGCTGATCGCGATGTGATCAATCTGAGTCCAGGCTTGGGATGCAGATGGAGGACGCCAGGTGGCACATCGGCGATGACTGTGCCGAAAGTTAGTGCTAGCCAGAAACAGGTTGTGGTCTGTGCACAGTTGCAGTAGACGGTCCCCGTTATCTGACCTGCGACCAACGAGTCCCCATCGGCCACCTAAACGACTCTCTTCTGTGCCTAGACTCCCGACCTGAGCATTCAAGTCTCCGGCTAGTACTACAATATCTGTCGAACGCACTTTCTGGAGAAGAACAGATAACTGGTGGTAAAACTCATCCTTGATTGCATCCGGGCTGCAATCTGTCGGGGCATAGGCGGAGATGACGAAAAGACATCGTTTCTCACGCCGATTTCTTCTCAACAAGCTTTTCGAAGCGACAGATGGAGATCGAATTTGTAGTACTTCGCCAGAGTCTTGAATACGGGTCTCGGATAGACAAAAAACATCAATATTAAGACTTTCCAAAGACATAGCCAGCCCTATCTGTTGTCCGACCTGCACTAGTGTGCGAACGTTGAAAGCAGCCAGTTTGAATGGTGCACGTGGTTTCAGAAAAACTGCTTCAGTTCTCGTAATCGGTGGTAACATACAATTTTCAACCGGACAGTGACTCGAGAACGTTTAGATACAGTCGAATTTCCACCAAAGACGAGCCGCTGTATAAGTATAAAAGAGGGTGAATAATGTGGAAAATAATAATAATAATGACAATAATGGTACTAATAATAACAATAATAATGACAATAATGGTAATAATAATAGTATTAATAATGACAATAATAGTAATAATTATTGGAATCGATTGATTATATATCGGAGCGAGAAAATTCGTTGCCATAGTCATAGAGTTCATCGTTTGTGTGTGGGCTGTGATACTGCCCGGGTGCCCAAACCGAAGCAGGTGGTTGTCTTAGGGGGCCACACCCCGAGCCTTTGACCAAATGGTCTAACCCACAAGGCAGTGGAGCATCGTAAGGAGATGCAATCCCATGGTAGCCGGTGACCAACGATTGGTTCATACGCCATTTGTTCCCGCAGGATACTGGAGCCCATGTGCACCATTGGTTTGTGATCCGGTTAAAGCGCCGGACGTTCGCTTTTCGTCCTCTCATTTTTGTAAACAACACCCCCACCGCGAGAAGGCAATGAGTAGGACTTCCCTGGCAGAGGCTGTATACGCGCGGCCGTGTGAGAGTATTTCGAGAGGGAGAGCGGACTCTCCCCACTCTCGGCCGTACCAGGGCGTTCGGGGGCCAATCATACTGGTAACTCCGCCTGTAGCTCCTCTAGAGTTACTGCTGGTCCCAAGCACGGGTAAATGAGGTGGTTTGGGCATACGGTTAGCTACCCCATCCCGTAGAAAATTGACTCGCTAAAAAAACGCTAACCAGAAAAAATAATTCAAACAATTTAAACTCTGCCCTGGGAGTTAGGTCTTCATTTAGAAGAACTATGACGCCTCATGGTGTAAGCCGAGTTCCTTCGAAAGCCATGGACCGATGCCCCTTCTAACAGC